GATCGTGTGTTACTAAACATTCCATTGCTCATTTTGTTTCATTTGATGTCTTGTCCCCTACCTTCTCTTTGTTTACCTCTTAACTGTCTACTATCTCTTTTCTTAAGTACTTACAGGAGGCGTTGTCTGATTTGGGTTGGAGAAAAGTTATGGAAGTGGAGATGGATGCCTTATATCATTATGGCCCTTGAGATCTTGTTCCTTTATCTCCTGGTTAATGACTTGTTGGTTGTCGGTGTGTGTACACTGTTAAATTTAATTCGGATATTCTGTGGAGCATTTCAAAGTTTATCTTGTTGTTAAAGGCTTTACTCAAACCTATGGTGTTAATTATGAGGAGACTTTCTTTCACATTGATTTCTTTGGCTACAAATTTTGATTGGCCCTTATTGCAGTTAGATGTCAAGAATGCCTTCTTACATGGTGATTTAGTTGAAGGGCTTTATAAGGAGCAATCACATGGGTTTACTGCTCGGGGTGAATATTGTAAGAGTTTGTGTCGGTTAAAGAAATCTTTGTATGGTTTGAAGCGGTTACCGAAGGCATGGTTTGACAAATTTTCAAATGCAGTTTTAGAGTTTGGTCTTTTTTGATGTCAGACCAATCTGTGTTTCATAGAAAGACAGATGTTGGATATATTCTATTGATAGTTTATGTAGAAGATATTGTAATTACTGTAAATGATTATAAAGGGATTGTCAAGTTAAAAACCTTCTAGTAGGACTGATTTCACACTAAGAGCATCTCCAACTGGCTAAGTAAAAAGGCCTTCTTAGCTATTTTATATAAGTAGTGCTTAAATCTTGCCTCCAACAGACTAGATATCACACTAGCTATTTCCTATAGCCTTCGTTTGGCTAGCTATCCCTGGCGAGTAGGGGTGACAATCGAGTCGTGTTGTGTCAGGTTCGTGTCGTGTCGAACATTAGTCAACCCATACCCAACCCATTTAACTATTCGGGTCGTGTCGAGTTGACCTGTTTATTTTCGTGTCGTGTTCATATTCATATTCGTGTTGACCTACATAAACTTTGAATAAAAAATTTAACGCTAAGATTTTATTTTCACATAATTGAATCTCTCTTCATACTTTTTCTACAAACTAAAAATTAACTTAATAATAATAATAACAACAATAATGAGTAATAGTATCTTTTTTATACAATAATTATGTCAATACTTGATAAACAGTTACAAATAATTAATATTTTATTTATATAATACTAATTAAATATGTTAATTGTACATCATACAACCAAATTAAACATCAGAAGTAATGGAAAAAATAAGTCATCAAAACATAAAAATTCATACATGCAACGAAAAGCCTAAGACAATCTCCTTCGAATTAAAAACTTCGTGTTAAACAGGTTGAACCCGAACACAACACATTAACATTTCGTGTTGGCGGGTCGTGTCAAAAACTTAGTCAACCCAAACCCATTTATTCGTATCGTGTTTCGTATCGAGTTATCGTGTCGTATCAAAAATTGTCACCCCTACTGGCGAGGCAAAGCAGCTAGCTATTTTGTTTTTGCACCAACAACACCCCCATCGCAGAAGGCTTGCTCCACCGACTGAAGACTGAAGGCAAAGCTCCATCGACTGAAGGCAAAGCTCCAAAGTATGTATGGTCTGTGTTTCTCTCGGGGAAGACAATGAGTTGCGATTAAATCTAGTAAACCCCTAAAAATCCAGCAAAACTCTCCCCCCCCCCCAAAAAAAAAAAATTCAGTAAAACAAATAGCGTACACAACAAATCGTCTTCATGGTCTTCATAGCATCGTCTTTATCACAGATTCTGTTCAACCTCAACCGATTGTGTTCGACTTCAACAAATTTTGAATTGGATTTTCACCAATCTTTGAAATTGACGAACATGAGAAATGAATTCTCTGAGAAGTTGAGAGCCATGGAGAAATGGGGCTAAGCTTTTTTGGGTGATGAAAAAGAAGATGAGATATACCAGTACTACTACTACTGGTAGTAGCATTTGGGTTTGTGGGTATTGAAGGTTTTGATGAGATGTGATTGTGATGATGGAGGTATCTGATGATAAATCTGGATGAGGGTTTTGATATTTTTTCTTTTGTTCTTTAGATTCACGGAAGTCACAAACTCAAAGCAGATCAAGTGTTTGGTCGACTGGCTAAATAAAATCAACAGCAGAAATTCAAAAATCCAACAAATTTCTCCAAAAAAATTCAATAAACTCTCTCCAAAAATTCAGTAATACCCCTAAAACATCCAACAAAATTCCCAAAAAATTCAATAAACTCTCCCCAAAAATTCAGCAATACCCCAAAAAATTTAACTAAATCCCTCAAAAATCTTGACTTCAGTTATTTGTGTAATTTGAGATGATTTTGTTTTGGATTTTGTGATTTAATTTGAGAGAATTTTGTTTGGAAGTAGTAATTTTTGTGAGGTGAGTTTTCTCTTGTAGCCTATAATTGATTAAATTTGTACAATGTATAGTTAAATTGTTATTTTTTGAATTTTATTATTGAAAGTTAGTTGAAGTGGTTAACTAAAATAGATAGCGTTGTTGGAGTGAATTTGAAAAAGTGGTTAGTTAAAATAGATAATATAATATTTAAATATATTTTGAGTAGTTATTTTAGATAGCATTGTTGGAGATGCTCTAAGGACCTAAGAAAATTCAGGTATTTCTTAGGTATTGAGGTTGATAGGTCTAAACAGGGTATTTGTTTATCCTAGGGAAAATTTGTACTTCACATGCTAGCAGGAACAGGTTTGTTGGGCGCAAACCAATCGATGTTCCTATGGATTCGAATCAGAAATTGTTGGTAGATGATGATGCACTATATGAGAATCCAGGTCGATATCGCTGGTTGATTGGGAAGCTTAATTATCTCACTATTACTTGACTGAATGTTTCCTATGTAGTTAGTATAGTAAATCAGTTTATGGGATGTCCTAGAGTATTACATTAGGAGGCCGTCACTGGTATTCTGCAATATCTTACGCGTGCTCCTGGTGTTGGGTTGTTATATCGACTTAATAGACATGTTAAAGTAGAAGGTTTTTTAGATGTTGATTGAGCCGGCTCTCTTTCTGATCGGAGTTCAACCACAAGTTATTGTACTTTCTTAGGAGGGAATGTTGTTTCATGGAAGAGTAAGAAAAAAATGGCGATAACGAGATCCAGTACGGAGGCTGAGTATAGAGTAATGTCATATATAACTAGTGAGTTGACGTGGCTGCTACACTTTTTTCAAGAAATTGGATTTCTAAATCAACCTCCTTTACAGTTGTTTTGTGATAATCAGATAGTTATTTATATCGCTGCTATTGAGGTTGATTGTCATTTTATTCGAAACAAGATAATAGCCGGAGATATTATAACTCTATTTGTGAGATTTGAGGATCAACTTGCAGATATGCTTACCAAAGCATTAAGTCGTATGCATCTTACAGCTATTTGTTCCAAATTTAGATTATATGATATATATACTCCAACTTGAGGGAGAGTGTTAAGAGTATTATGTAAAATACTAGTTGTAATAAGTATACCACTAGAGGATATACACGTCTTTTGTATGGTATAAATTAACTATAAATACAAATGGTTTATGAGAGTTAGGTTAAGTTTTTTGACCACTCTCTGTCTTTCTCTAATATTGTGTTAACTCTTTAACTTAACAAGATACATGAACGAGTAGGACATGACTATCTCATTATATGTGGTTATATTTATATTGTTGATAAAAATGCATCAATGATATTCCAAGATATTACTGTGCTACTTGGGATCCAATTTGCTAGGTGATTCCCAAACTAAAATAACATATGTAGCTCATGTTGGGATTACACAATAGTGTTGCACCAACTTTGACTAGGTATCTAATTGCCATATGACTCATACTCAACGTAAGCCATAGCATCTAAGTATTCAGCTCAAGCAAATTGTTAACCATTCTCAAAATTTAAGCCACAGCACCTAAGTATTCAGCTCAAGCAAATTGTTAACAATTCTCAAAATTTGAGCCTAACATCACTCTTCCCAAGGTGCATGAACTCACTCATTCTTAATCGAAGCTAATCTCCATTGGAAGTTTGTAAGGGGCTTCCAACTACCTAATCCTCTTCTAAATTTGTAATGAGCACGAATTAAACCACCGGACCACTGAGCACAAATACTAGCTCAAATCAATGCAAACCACCTCACTAGGTATCATGAGCATGAAGTGGAAATAATGTGTATCTGAGGTGTAACCTACAAAGAAAATGATGAAAAACAAAATTAATAGTTACTGGTTAAGGGAGGGATATATTCAATATGTACCCCTCAAGCGCTTTACATGTATTGGCATCTACATATTTTTTTTGAATAAAAACTTATTGTATACATATACATCATTGAATCAAAGTATGTGTGCCTCACAAGATCAATAGGGGCCTTCATGTCAACCACTCACCATGCCACATGTGTTTAGGCGGCCTTCATGAGCTGAATGTTTTTTGTGTCGACAAAATAAAATAATGGTGCGCCTTAAGTATGTGTTTTGTGTTATTTTGTTCCTTATTTTTTTCCAATTTTGCCACTTCAGTTCCTTAGGGTTTCGGTTGCAATTTGGTTCAATCGGGACCGCAATTTAATTGGCTAATGAGAGTGGTCACATGACCGCACTTGAGGGTCACTTTAGTGCCTAAGGTTTTCAATTTGTATCACTTTGGTCCTCAATTTTTCAAATTTTGTCACTTAGTTCAAGTTTCAAAATAATGTTTCTTAAGTGTTGTCAAGTGTGACGCATGTGACCACTTTCATTAGTCAGATTTAACTGTCCTTTTTTATATAAAACATATTAGAAACTTGAGGGACTAAAGAGATAAATTGAAAGAATGATGATAAAAGTGACAGAAATCGCATACTTTCTATGCCTTTATTCTTAACCATTTTAATTATCTCATGTGATACAAATTTAGAGATTCGTTTACAGATATTGACATTATTCTAGTTTCTTCTTGTGACATGAATGCAGTTGCTAGCGAGCCTCACTGGAAGTGCAAAAATATCTGTGCCCATGACAATTGTGGTATCTGGAATTGCAAAAATGTTTGTTGGTGAGCTTGTTGAAACAGGTATAAGCATAATTTAAAAAGTTTTTAAAATTGGGGGATAGATTTATTGTAAATTAATTGAAATGAAATGGTAAAGGATTATAATGTTTTGTTTAGATCGAATTGTCATGGAGATGTGATTGCAGCAATCATTTTTCCCCAATTTTGCATTCTCTAGAGTTCTCTCACGAAGTTACATCTATTTTTTTTGCTCAATCAATCTGAAAGTTTCTGTTCATAAGTGCCCAAGGCAAATTGCACAAATAGTCCCTAGGTTTGCCAATAATTGAATTTTGGTCCTTAACATTTCAATTTTTACACTAGAGCCCATAAAGTTCAGACATTAAACTAATGTGGTTCCTAGAACTAACTAAAGTTAGAATCAAATCAAAGACGGAACACATATGTACATAATTCTAGCACGTATTATTCTTTATTGTGTATGTACATACTAAATTGTGTCTCTATTTTATAATCTCCTCTCTCTCTCTCTCTCTCTCTCTATATATATATATATATATATATATATATATATATTTTTTTTT